ATTCCAAGAATTTGTTAACTATCTTCGGATTTGAATAATATTAAAGTATCACCAACATAAATTCCACAGGGCAATTTTCCAGCCATTTACTTTCATTATAACACATGAAAATGTTAGCTAAAGTAGGCCCTAAAGTAGGCTTCCCATTGCTACCCCTTCAATCTGCTTGTACAAAATTCCATTAAACCAAAACATTATATCTTTTGTGGCTATGTCAAGAAGTATCCTAAAATACATCCTATTAAATCCCAAAACTTTATCAGTTTTATCAAACAATGAGTTCATAATGATATCTAAGGTTTCATCTAAAGGAACATTTGTAAACAGATTAGTAACATCAAAACTAGCCAGGGCATAGTCATTAGCATGAGGGATCTCCATTAATTTTTGAACAAGGGTGAAGGTGTTTTGTATGGTATACTAGTTCAGAGTGAGTTGTTTTAGTATAAGAATGAAAAGTTTTGAAACATTATAATTAATAGTTCCCAATGTTGAAAGGATGGGTCTGACTGGTAAGTTGGCTTTATGAATTTTAGGTAAACTATAGAAAATTCCAGGTCTTGTGCCAGAAGTAAAGAGGGAAGAGTAAGTAGACTCATTAATGACCTCTTCTGTTTTTAATTTCCTTAGAAAAGAATTAAGTTTATCCTCATTTTTTATAATAAGTGATTCAGGTTTGTTAGGAATTTGGGAAAATTTTGTTTTATCTATGAGTATGTCATCAACTATATAACATAATCTGATCTGTTCATAAGAACAACACCTTGACCTTTGTCTGGTTTAGTAATAATTACATCAGGGTTCTTAGACAAGTCTTTAAGGGTTTTGAGGTCGTTAGTTGATATCCCATCTTGAGTAATTTCCCTTTTAATAAGCATAAAAAGTAGAAAAAGCCAAATTCTTAATATTAGATTTAATGTGATTATGAACATTTGGAAATTTATTTGATGGCTTGTGAGTATAAAGTGACCTAAGTAATTTTTCATAAGACAGGGAAAAATGAGCAAAATTCAATTTTGATGGTGGGATGCCAAACTTTCAATCATATGCCAATAATTGTTTGAGTTTTAAAGATAAGTTTACTCTAGAAAAATTGAAAACAACCTTATCAACATTCGGGGACTCACTAAAGTTATCATATCCTAAAAGGAATAGTTTACCTATACAATACACCTCAAATTGAAGAGATGTATATAACTACTATATATACATACACACACACACACACACACACACACACACACACACACACACACACACACACACACACACACACACACACACACACATATATATATAGTAATGTATATATATATATTCATAAATATATACATATGTATATATATATGTGTGTGTGTGTGTGTGTGTGTGTGTGTGTGTGTGTGTGTGTGTGTGTGTGTGTGTGTGTGTGTGTGCAAACATATATATATATACTTATACATATACATATACACAAACACATATATATGTAGGATTACATATATATTATGTATATTATATATTCGACATTTAAAAAGGTACGTTGGTTCTAATTTCAAAGCTAAGTACGTCACTGAAACATTTGTTTACATACTCTTATATTTCTAAAGGCATATCAATATGGCAAAATGTAGTGTTATAACAAATAGAGTAAATTATAATACTCATTTAGAAATGGTTTGTTTGTTTAAAGAATGATTAATTTGGGGGAAAGCAAAAGTTCGTTAATTTAACAATTTCTCGTTGGGTGAATCGTTGCTGTCCTGTGTACAGGCTTAGTGCTGGTATTCAAAGTCGTGTTTTGCCCTGATATAATAGACTGTAATGACTGATAAGTCTATTACCGTAATTATAAATTCATTTGTAAAGATTTATGATAATTGAGACAAATCGTTGATATCCTCCTGAGTACACAGAGAGAGAGGAGAGATCATGGAGAATGCACTGAGAACATGCCACAATGCTTTGCTGCTATGCAAGTTTTTTGTAATTTAATCATTTATTCTAATGGTCCGTGGATTCAGCAACGGAATTCGTAGTAGGTGACAATTCCGCCGATATCAATAAACAGATAGAGAAGGAAATTATTCATTAGAGGGAAGTGTAAGAGAAGGAAATTGTAGAGATTAAAGGAAGGGGAACGATTAGCTAATGCCATGGAAAGAATACTGATAGACGGGGTGTGAGGGTCTCGATTCTTTCTCATGTATATTTTGTTATGTTTATTAAAATGGCTTTTGATTTATAATTAGCAGGAAAAGGGAGGGTATGGAGTTAACCTTATGATATGAATTAGATTAGTATATTCATTGCAAAGATTTACTTAATGATATGCCACCTGTTCATTATTGTTTATTTATTGAATAAGATTTTAACGGTTAAGAACGTTCCTATGACCGTTATAAGATTAGCCACACTCAACAGAGGAATGACTTCATTCTCAATCCCAGGAGCCGTAAACAATCGTTTTAAGTCACGCTGCCCAAACTTTAACGGTACAGTAAATACAGTCAAAATAAGC